TCTGTGATCCCCCCTTGATTACTAAATAGTTTGTGATTGCGATTGTGATTGTGATTATTAAAGCTGGCCAATTTATTATAAATCTAACTCAGATTTATGATAAATTGGCCGGCATTAACAATCGCAATCACAATCGCAACCACAATCACAATCATTTATAACTATTAGTAATCAAGGGGGATCACAGAATTTTGCAAAGTGGCTATTATAAAAATTAGAGCAGAAAATCTTGTGATTCGTTCCATGAGAAGTTTCTTAATAGAAATTTAGAATAACGAATAAAATTATTCAAAGATAAAGTAAGCATACATGAAAATTCATCGATAGAATACCTAGAATCCCACGCGAATTTCATCCTAACATTATAGATGAAAGTCATTCGTTTACGTAGAAGGATTTCAAATATCTAAAAATATACACAAAATAAAGTAAGAATAAACCGATAATAGATCAACATGAATGAATTGAAGTCTAACTACATTTGCAGAATAAAGATTCAATCCGATAACGATAATCAAATATCAAATAGCGAATGGAGGTAAAAAGGTTTTATTGATGATTAGCAAAATTGATTAGCAAAATTGATTAGTCTAACCAATCTATTTTTCATTTAAACCAAATATATAACTCATGTCCGTGAAAAAATATTTATATAATCTTTGAAATAAAGTAGCATTATTTATTTATTATATAATAAGTCAAGAATAAACCGAAAATTGCTACCAGGGAAGGATAAACGAATCTGAAATAAGTCAAGGTTTCTTTATCAAAGTTATCTATAATCGTAATTAAAGTTAAAATTTTATTAGATTCCAATCGATAATATTCTTATCATGCAAGGCTAATTGCTAATAGATCAAGTTAAAAGCATATGCAGGCAGGCGGCTTACACAAAGTCTTTGAATTGCATATAGAATGAAAAATTTTTTCCTTAATTTATTAATTTATTTATTATCGTTATATAATCTTTTTTTTTTTTTGGAACTTAAAAAAAAAAAAAAAAGTTCGAGATAAAAGTAATACCGAAAGTGAATAATCATAATATACAGATTGTTTATAAAATATTTTTTAAAATCTAACATAAATAAATACAGAAAACGAAACTTCTATATAAATATATAATAAATAATTTGATAAAAATGTTATTGTATATACAAGCTAAAAGTTTTTTTTAGAATAATTAATATAATATTGGTAATACATATAGGCACCAACATTTACCTCTTCACGTCATATAAAATTTGTATAAAGTTTGTATATAAAATTTGGGTAGTGATGTCCATATATCACTACCGTAAATTATTTGATATTCTAATGTTTGTGGTTTGTGGTTTTAGTAATACAATATCACTATCCACTAGGGTAAAAAAAGTGATGACCACTTTTTTCTTAAAAAAAAAGTTCAAAAATATATACCATATTATGGACTTCAAATTCCATTATCGCTACCAACGTTAGCCAAACAACAATGCTCAACCACGTCTTCATGTTCAAAACTATTCTCAACACCAACCTTAACTTTATGTATTTGATGTACACCACCCCATCCAACATCCTTAGTTTTGTTACACTCCCAAGTACATCCTTGAACATTACTTATCATATACCTTCCAATATCATCACCAAACTTTTCTAACATAGCGTAACCCAATACGGAAAAGCCATCAAATTCTTTTTGTAATTGTTGTTTCAAAGTTGTAGAAACACTTGGTGATATGTTAAAATCAGTTATTCGATCATTATCATGAAAATTTATTTCAAAATAAATTTGAAAATTACGTTTAAAGAAAAATTCTTTTTTAAATTGAGAAGATATAGTTAAGAGAGTGGAGGTTAAAGTTTGAATAAAAGAATCAATTTCGGAAGCTATCATCTTATGACGTAGGGATAGCTGATTGGGAGATAGAGTTGTTGATGAGAATGAAGAAGGTGGATATGTGGGAATTTTAAAATAATCCAATTCATCTTCTAATTCAGCTGATGTTATTGGAATTAATCCTATTGCTAAAAAAAAACAAAGTTTACCAAATATTAATAATAACAATCAAATATATATTAATAATTAAATATATATTAATAATCAAATATAGATTATATATATATATATTAATAATCAAATATAGATTATATATATTAATAATCAAATATAGATTATATAAATTTTAATTTCAAAACTAAATACTATAGAGAAATTCGAACCTTGATCAATAGTAGGAACTTTTCCAGTTCGATAGAATTGCATAATATAATGAAACAAATGACCGTCTCTATCGATAAAAAATTCATCAAGATCTGGATCCCAAAAAGAATTTTCATAATCACTATAAAGAAATACAGAACCAAGTAATGTTGTTGGATATGCTGTTAAAGTTGACCTATAAGTTTCATACTGTTTTTAAACATGTAATTGATTATTAAACATATAATTAATTCAATTAATAAAAATTTTTTTTTTTGAAATATTGTTTAAAAAGAAATAATACCTTTATTCCACCAACATTTAATATAATTTTTTCTTTTGAAGCTAAATTTTCAAAATTTTCTGAAAGAATACTTTCATTTGAATTACCAAGAATAATATTACTCGTGTTAGGAGTGTTAGGCACGGTTTGATTGTTTGTAACAGTTGTTGTAAAACTAGTTAAACTAGTGGTTGATGGTATATTAAAATTTTGTATAAAATTCTTAATCATATCTGTACGTATAAAAATAAATGAATCTATCTTTACATAAGAAAAAATTTTCAACTAATAAGTTGAAATGTTTGTAGCAAAATGAGCGTTCAAACAAATGACTTTATATGTGTTATTTATTTGTTTGATAATGATAATGATGCTGTACTGCAATAGAATACTAATCTTATTACAAGCCAATGCAGTACAGTAGTACAACAGTACAACAATGCAGGTATGTATACATACGTATGTGTGCATATATGCAAAATATGCATATATCGATATGCATTAAAGTAGAGGATAACAATAAATGATGGCGGTAGTTTTTTTCATGTTGATCTTAATGTTATTTCATTTTAGAATAATGAAACAGGTATGAAACTGTAAATATATATAGATATTGTGTCACAATTGACCTTTTTTAATATTATTTAAAAATGTATCCGGAGTTCTAGCTCTTTATGTAGTCCCGCAGATCACTTGTATACTTTTCTTGTTGAAACTGATGGAAATCGATACCATGATATTTACGTCAATTTACACATCATTTATTACACCAGTTTAAATTTGCATAGAATTAAAGTTTTTGTTCGTAACATTAAGACTAAGTTTACATAATTAAGGTTAGTATAGAATTATATTTAAATTTACAATTACTTTAATTTGATAAATTTAAGAAAATTGATTAAACAACCGTAGTTCTTTGTGTGTAGGTATATATTTCATACTTGCCTAATTTATTTATTATGAATGTGAACAACATTTTAATGTAGTTGTTTTACTAAAAAGTAAGTCGCGTAAACCATTTGAAATTTAAATGCATAGAATTTCGATCTCAACGATTTAGAAATACTAAAATGATCTTGTGCCTTTAAGTTCATGAAGATAAACAGCCATTTGGCGTAGTGGCGTTGCTAACACAATTCACGATATGTTACACATAATTATCTTTAATGCAGTGTATTTCTAAAGCCTCACGCGACACGGAGGTTTTAACAAGGTAAGTACAAAGATAGAAAACTGTACGGCATAAGTATAATAATTTTAATGTATTTATCATTTTTCATTGTTGCAGGTACATCTGCATTCGAAAAAAAGAACAACCACATGTTTCTTTTTTTGAAGAAAGAAGCGAGTTACAGGAGTAAAGTGACGTGTATAAAGATTAGATTCATTAACATTTCCATTAACTTTTCGAGCGAGTTTTTTTTTAGAATTATAAAAGATTAAAAAAGGAAAAGTTGGAATAACAATGAATGTAAGTCATTTTATCAGTAACAGATAAGATTTTAAGTGATTTTGGATTACTAGAATTGTTTGAATTGTAAATCAGTAAAAATAAAATGTCATTTTTGATACACATTAGTAAATGTTTCAGTCAATATCTTATGATATTAGGTAAGATGAACAATAGTAATCGAATTGATTGGTACAGACAACAATTACGTATAACAACGACCATCATAAGTACTATGATACACGAATTTCCTGAAAATCCAATCTCGTGTTAAAAAGGTTGTACATTAGTATAACAAGATAAGGCGGTAATCAAATCAGTGATATTATGAATCGATCGATGATTGCGAATTATGTTAGACATTTAATGAATTCAATGAATTCATAGAATTCATATGAAAAAGTGTAACTGTGCATCATCATTATTGCTATATATGACTTAACAATATATTAAGAATTTTTGAAGATATACAGTCTTTAGGTAATTACAAACATACGCGTAATCTACATTTATTAGATAAGGTAGGTTATTACTTTATATTCAGCTTCTAAATCATCCAACTTGATTGGAATATATCGGTTTTTCCATAACCTGGTTTTCCGTAAAGTTGATCTGTATTTATCACTGTCACTTTTTCCGTATCACACCGAAAAAAAAAGTGTTTGCCAGTTACGTAAGACATGTATGTACCGATTTGTATTATACGTCATTGTAATATAAAGTCTTCGAATAATGTGTTTTTGTGTATCCTGCATGTAACAAAGGAATTGCTGAAATCTTTCTTTTATGAGATGGGTTAGCCATATAAATTGTGGCTGCATGTTTAATAATATATTTATTAATGCATTACTACATTAGACAGATATTTATATATAAAAAAATATATAAATATAAATATATATATATGCATTAGATATATATTAAATATATATTATATAGAAACATTCAAAATTTATATAAAGCAGTTGTACTCTTTTTTTTTTTAAACCAAAAAAAAAAAAATTAGAAAATCTTTACGATATAAGTTATTTTGACAATAATAAAGTTAAGAGACGCATTCAGATACATCAAACGATAAAAAAAAAATAATGACGACTAATAGAAAAGGTTCACGCGAGAGAATTATACTAAATGTTGGTGGGATTAGGGTACAGTATTACGTCACATATAACCTTAATTCTCTATTAATGCGATATTTTTTTTTTTAGTAATTAAATCATTAATATATTTCTACTAAATTATTAATTTAATAGTATGAAACTTATCGATCCACTTTTACAGCGTATCCCAAAACAAAGTTAGGAATAATGTTCAGTGAAGAGAATAATACAACATTAAGTTCAAAAAATGGAAATGAATATTATATTGATAGGAATGGAAGGCTATTTTATTGTATTTTACAATTTTATAGAACTGGCAAGATTCCTTCTGTTGATAAAGGTATTTATTTATTTATTAAAATATTCATTTGAAAATTAATATTATGTATTTATGTTTTTATGTTTACACACTAACCTTCTTAATCTTTAATAGTAAAGTGTGCGATACCCATAACACAAAAACAACTAGATGAAGAATTAGATTACTTTAAGATTCCCCGTACAACCTCGAATAAAAAATCTACACATTCCAAATTATCTCTTCGCAGTAGAACCGTTGCAGCAGAACTAGATAATCTCGTAGATGCACTCAAAACATCACTCAATAAATTAGCATGTTACTTTCAAACATGTTTCATGTCAGCTGGTGGACATGGTTTCAATGTGACCCTAGAAATATCGTTTCACTCATCAGATCGGATACCACACCTTGTGACTGTTCTACCAACAATCATAGGAAAATCTCCAATACCTTTAATAACACCTATATTTAACGAACAAGGTTTTGGAACAAAGGCGTATGTGATATTGAATAGATTTGGCGATAAAATAGGGAACTATTTGGAATCTGCTTTTCCAGGACTTAACTGGCATCTACAATGGTTTGACAATTCTAATAATGAAATTCGTCCTTCACCCGTTGATGCATTGTATAGAGTGAGAATGTCACTGTGTGACAAGTTTGACTACGACGATGTTATTAATAACTGTTGTTTAAGCACAGTCGTCACTAAAAATTATAAGAATGATTTTGATTATGAAGAATAGGTTGTATTTCTCTGGAAGAAATATACATGTTATGTAATTTATGTAAATAGCATATATATCATTATAAGTAACAAATGATTTGAATTCATTCATAGACATTTTTTATAAGTTAAAAAAATTATTAGAAAAATATTTATTATTTATTATTTATTATTATTATCATCATTTTTTTAGACCAAAACATACTGTATTTTTAGATAAAAAAACAAAACCTTATGATTATGTATAAATCATGTGATGATGGATGTATCATTAACGATGTTAGGGAAATTCATATAACGATAACAATATCGATTAGTCATTCTTTTACACAAAGTATTAAATACAAACACATTCAAATAAATTTTATTATAACATTAGTTATCTTAATCATCGCGTTGAAGTTTAATAATTAAACATTACTTTTTCCTTTATTTAAACTTATTACTGACTAAAATTGACTAAATCTGACTAAACCCGCACAGAGTATTCTATAGACAATGGCTCTCGTCTATCTTGGTCTAACCGGAATTGGAGTATATACACGTTGGAGAATCTTTAAATGACATCAAAATTATAATTCCTAAAAAAATACTTTAAATATGATAATCATCACGAGAATTCTTAAACGGTGCATTCAACTTTTTTTTTTGCTTATGTATCATTGACTCTGCAGATCATGTTGCATGCTTCGCATCATTCTTTGTGCCCAGATATATCAGATAAATCAGATATCGATATATCAGATATGAGTGATGCACAGGGAAAACCTGCAAGTAAATTTCATTCGTTAATCACTATCTGCTATGTTGATCTTAACGATTTGGCACTGGAATGTGACCAATCATAGGATATGACAAATAAACGTTTACTACATAATCGATATAATAAATAATATAATAAATAATTATTTGTCGTGTCCTATGATTGGTCGCTCCCCAGTGCCAAACAAATTTTATTTACATGTTTTTCCTGTACGTCACTCATATGTAACCCGATTTTTTTTTTTTAATAATAAAGTTTTTTTTTTTTTTTTGTTTATTAAATAAAAACCTATTTTGTCTATTTTATGCAATAACAATCAATTTCTCGAAAATACCTTCGCTCAAGGAATAGACATTGATTATGCATTATCATGATTGTGGGTCCGTGACAAATCTGTTGGCGCGTATAAAAGTATTAAAAAAAAAAAAGTACTACGTATACAATAAACCACGAATATGATGAATTTGATGAATATGCATACAATACGTAGGTACCTAATAAAAAGGAGATGAGGCACTAGTTTCAGCCCAATGATTATTATTTGATTAATATCATTTATATATTTATTATGCATGCACACAGGACTTACTTTATGACCTTTTCGTACGTAATTATTTTTGGTTTTTGGCTAATTTTTTGATGACGCGAAATTGCATTTCAGAAATACATGAATGATATTAAGGTTACTATTAGCTTAAAAAAAAAAAAAAAAAAAAAAAAAAAAAAACTAATTTAGGAAGGCAAATGTGATATTTTTATAAATAAAAATAAAAAGGCATGAAAATAATATATATGGAAAGGTCATAGCATATTATTTGTTTCGATCTTGGAGAAATGTTTCAAACGTTATTTAAATATCATTATATTCATATTCTTATATTCAAATGTTATTATATTGTTCTATATCGGATAGATCCTGATTTTAATCCTTCAAGTTTTAAATGTACGCAAAAGGCAAACATGTTTCACAATGCCGGTGTCCTAAACTTCTTGATAAAGCTTTAATTGACCTTTATTTAGTATTATTTACAAACCTCTTCAAATCATCCGAAAACTTTCATTTTATTGGTTACCCAAAGTTTCCATTTTATTTCAATGATTTATATATAGTATTAAAAAAACGAATTTGATTAACGTGAAACGCGGGAATGATATTCATTAACTGATTACATATCGATATGCACGTACGTACATGGATCGAGATTTACTTTCACGTAATCTTTTTCAAAGTTATAATTCATTCCTCTTTCTTTTATAGTAGATCATAAAAAGTATAAAAAGTGTTAACATTCGTCTTGTTTCATTTTATGTGAGATTACACAATTCTTACTAAAATATATTTTATAAAGTACCCAAATACTAACAAAATTTGTTTAGTCCTATTTTGAACTGATGAATTTATATTAAATTAAACCAATTATTAATATTCCTCAAATAATACCTTCAGTCTGATTTAAAAGTTGTATTGTTTTCCTGGCATACGCTGAAAATTTCTTATCATTTATAATGATAACCGTTTTCTAATTATTGTGTATTGTGAACCCATAAACTAACACGCAGCGTGATCCATCAAAATTGATCATTATTATCTTTTAGTTTTATTTAAAAGAATAATATAATACAAATTAATATATAATACTAAAGTAAGCTAGTGTTTAATATCACATATTTTATTATAAATTAGTGTCAAAGTAAAAATAAAAAAAAATTTAAAAGTTAGTGTAAGTATTGAACAATTTTATTTAGAGTACCAGATTTTAATTATTGACTAGCTTTTTAACTATATATAGCAATTATACTATAATACTAAACATTATTTATGTGCTTTAATAAACTTAAAATTAATATTTAATATATAGTCATTCTCCCATATAATCACACAATTGGGCATATAGTATAATTTTTTAAAAAAAGTGCTTATAAAAAGTTTTGCTTATATAAAAGCTTATTTTTTAAAATATATCATAGTTTGTCGTAAATAAAAGTGTAATTATATTTGATATAATTATAGTCTGATCTCTCTAAATGCACAACCTCAGGACCATAATAAAAATTTTCAAAAATGTGCATTTAGAAAAGTCAAAATTCAAATAATTGTTATATTGCTTGAAAACATGTAGGAGTGTGCATTTGGAGAAATTTCTTATATAATGTGCATTTAGAAAGGTCTGACTGTATGTATAAGGTTTAATACAGTCAAACCTCCATATATGCACTTTTCTTGGAACCGACTATAAGTGTGCATTTTACAGAGAGTGGTTTTATAAGTGCTATTATTAGTTGGGACTGAGGTATAAGGTGCTATAAAGCGTGCATATATAGAGCGTACATATATAGAGGTTTGACTGTATAATGTATATAAATTGACTATAAACATCAAACACCAACTATAGCACATAATTATCTTAAAATACTCTTCAATAATTTTACGCCAAACTTCCAGTACTTCAACTTTCCTTTTAGGTTTTTTTGATCGCAATTTTATATAATTATCGATTGACAAAAATTTCGAAAACCCACTTTCTTCTCTAATATTCATTACGTCATTGTTTGTGCATCTATGGTATTAGGTATAATGATAAATTACAAAATACGCTATAAGTAATTAAATTAGGCCATGTAAACTTACTAAATTGGTTCTCATAATATAAAAATTTTAAAGTGATCCGACAACCTGGTTTTTATTTTTATTTTCGAAATTTATATATATAAAATACATAAAATATTTTTTATAGTTTTTTTTTTTTGAAAAATTCACCCAAATAGTAAATATACATACAATTTTTTCTTCAAATTTTATAAAATCTGACCTGGCTGGTTATGAAAACCAATTTATTAAGTTTTATGGGCTTACTTACGAAAACGGATCCTTTTTTTGTGATTCCTTATATTCTTTAAAATGTGGAATAAAATTGCCAAAATACTATTCAATGTAAATTATTGAGTATTCATTATTGTATGCATTAAAAATCATTATTTTCAAATAAATACCTTAGATTCATCAAGTTTCGCCAAACTTTCAGCTAATATTCTTAAAATATTTTCGTCAATTGATATTTCATTAATATATGTATTGCTTGTAATTTGATGAGGGGGGTTTGATAGCCATCTGCACAGCAATGATAGTTTCAACGATCTTGTTTGGATAAACACAAGGCAAAGCAAAAAGGGTTATTACTATCAGGAGCAATGCTTTTGCTAACCAATCCATCATAATCAACAATCTCTGGTGATAGTTCTTTCTGAGAGGCATTTATTTCTTTCTCATCAATCGTTGCAAAGTTTTCATTCTGTAGATTAGATTTATGACTTGCAAGACGATTTTCCTGGTTTTTTAATAATTGGTTTCCAATAATTTTGTTTTCATACAGAAGGTATTTGTTTTTACGACATTTAACTGTAATTAGTTCCTATCACATATTGATACGCGTTAATAATGAAGAAATTATTTTAGAAGCTACACTTAATTCTTTTAACATACCTTATATCGCATTTCGATAATACTATTCCAATCAGGTGCGTCAAGTTTAATCTTTAAAAATTTAAAGACAATTAGTAAGAGATTATCTAGCAAAGAAGTAACTAGTAATTAATAAAAAAAAAAGTTTATAAGAAGTTGCATCGTCGCAATAATGGGGTTGAGGGCAATACCTAACTACCCACAGATACAGGGCGATACCTGAATGGAGCTTCTCACATCATCACTCTGGCGAGAGTAATCTCACTTAAAGTGTGGCGATCAGAGTGGTTCATAAGTAAACGCCTACTCCGGCGATACCTGACAACCCACAGATCCAGGGCGAAACCTAACAACCAACAGATTCAGGGCGAAACCTGCAACCTGATTGGGATACCATAGATGCACAAAACTTCAACGTTTAATACTTCCCTCCACGTTAAGTATTTCTGTAGTTGTTATAAACCACTTTGTCCATGTGCCATTTAAACTATTAAGATCATTCCCTTTCGGAGGAGAACGAACTACTAGATCAATATTTTGCTTGACGAATCCTGAAAAGGGATGGAACAGTGCCACTTTCCGAAGCCTGTTCAATGTACTTTTTAATTTCTAAAAAAAGGATCAGTAAAAACAATATAATAAACCAGTGTGTTTTTTATTTTAAAAATATCTACCATCGAAGGCAAGTGGAAGATTGTTCATCACGTATTTGAGTTTGTATATAGGTAAAACTGCAGACATTTAGAATATATAGCAGTGATGTTTGTGACATGTTTGTGACGTATTAAAGACTTTCACGTGATGATCATCCAATAGTGTGTTTCGTTTTAATGTAATGTTACATGATCAAGAAAATCAAAACAAACTGTTCGCTTTTCAAAAATCGCTTATTCCTCAAAAACTTGCATAAGAAACCACCTTTTAAGCTCTAACAAAAAAAATTCCTAAAGTGATTTTACTATTACTTCTCTAAAACCTAGTCCTATTATAAACGCTAACCCTAACTTAAACAAATTTAAAGATTTTTAACCGCGGTCACATGAAAGTGAAAATTTTGACGGCGATACTGGGGAAGATTTAAGCAGAGAGTCTACAGACACATACCGATCACGTGATATTTAGCATTATGGACACGTACCGATTATGTGATATTAATTATTACATAATTATTTTATAAAGTAGCAAACTCAAACAAAAATGCATTTTTCACTTTAATTATTCATATCAATCAATCCAAGCTGCATACAATAAGACACGTTGATATAATAATTGAAAATGACTTATTGTCTAATGATAAGGTGATCCAAAACCTGTTAGATCTTTTTTGACAAGATAATTTTAACATCCTTATCCAGGATTCACAACGATAGGTGTAAGTTGAAAATCTGAAATGAATAATATGAATTTTAGATAATTTTTAAATATAAAAATGAAAATGTCAAATTTTATGCTAAATGATGATGTTGCAACCAATATTGGCATAAAATTTGTAATGAGTTTCTTTAGAATTTTATATTTGACAATGCTAATATTGATTAATTTGTCTTTTTTTATATGTAGTGAATATTAAAAGTTACATAGTTTACTTTGAAAACCAGCCAATAGACCATGCTATGGATCAGTTTATAGACTAATCTTTAGGATTAAAACTGGACTAAGTCATTCTATAATAAGTCATTTTCAATCACTGTCTTATTATATACAGCTTGAATTGATTAATTAGTTAATTAAAGTAAAGTCTTTGATAATTGCACTTTTATTTGAGTTTGTCACTTCATAGAAAATAGTTATGTAATAAATTAATATCACATGATCGGTATGTGTCCATAATGCTAAATATCACGTAATCGGTATGTGTTCATAAACTCTCTGGTCCATAGACTCTCTGAGATTTAAGAGCATTGGAAATCACATGATCTGACACTTATTTTTGCCATGACTAGGGTACTTCTAAACAGTCAGGAAATATGTTACACCTGTTAATATATGAGTATTATAAAATCTATAACAGATAATAAAATCATAAATTTACTATGTATAAACTTTATATTTAAGGTTAAGCTCAAGTAATAACAGATAACTAATATTTTTGAAGGTGGGGGTTAGCAAAATTTTAGATTACACAATCTATAATAATAGTTAATTAAATTAAACTAAATTTAATTATAGCATAATATAAAATAAATATACTTTATTGTATAACAAAATTAAGCATTTTAATTAATTTTAGATATAGTTTTTTTTTCTTTTAAGTATTTACATTAATACTTTATTTTATTTTTTTTTAAAGGTAATCTTTTTGGTCTTTTGATTTTTATTAATGATTTTTTTAGTAATGTGATTCTATAAATTACTACAGAAGAGTATACAATTAGTTATATATATAATTTTTCTATATTACCTATTTAAGAAATCTATCTAAAGGTTTTTTACTAATTGTCATATCTAACATTTCTGCTTGAGTGTTTCATTTTAAATCTTTTAAACCTGCAATCTGTATTAACATTACTGAATTATATTCAGATATTCAGATCATTGTCTTAATTTTATAATTATTTTATTCTCAAAATAAATCTTTCAGAGTTTTGATACTTATTTTTATTGTTAATTTAGATATTGTTATAACAGAACCAACACTTGTAATCAAAGTTATATTATTTAATCACTATACCCTTGTAGAATTTACTCAAATCTTAGCATCTACTTTATAACATAATTCTAGTACTTTAATATTCTTTATTCAGGTTTTCAATTCAAATAATTTGTATAAAATTATAACTAGTCTATTGTTATATTAAGTCAGCTTAATATCCTTTTCTTCTGATTTATTTTAGTAGTCTAGTTGGTGATACCTTTAAGTCTTTTCCAATTTAAAGATTCTTGTTTATCTGGGTACTATAATCTTAGTATCTGTTTTCTTAAACTAGTCTTTATAATAATAATATTAAAGATTTAGCCATCTTTCTATTTAGGTTTTTCTAAATAAACTTCTTGTTATTTAATTTTAATAAATTTATATAATTACAAAAATTTATCTAATATTTGTACCATCTGATTGTTAATTTGCATTCCTTTATATAACTATACAGATGCTCTATAACCTATTAGTTATATTGGTATAAATATCATTACAAGTATTCTAATCTAATTATTAATAACAGTTGTCATAATACAAATATTATATAGGTAATTATTTAAATTTTTACTATCAATAAAATTTGAATACCCAATCTACTATTTGGAAGGTTAACAATCTGACTACTTCACTTAGTTGTTACATTCTTATATTAATATTTTATTAAGATTCTTAAACTATATATATATATATATATATTTTTAATATTAATAATGAAGCTATGCCTCTATTTTTATTGAATATTTAATTGAGATTTTATATAAAGTACAATTTTGTTTTTAAAATATTATAGAAAGAATAGAAGCTCAGACTAAT